AGAGGGAGATCAGTAAAGGCTTCCTGCAGAAGATGGTCCCTGAGCTGCATTTTAAAAGAAAAGAAGGGCTGAGCTGGAGGTGGAGGGAAGAAGGGAGTGCGTTTCAGGCATGGTGGATGCATAGTGGGAAGGTAGAGACAGGAGATAGAGTGCCCTGTGTAAGGATCAAATTGAGGGCCACTTTGCCTGGATTGTAGAATGAGGGAGAAGTAATGAATTCCAGTGAAGTGAAAAAGATAAGTTGGTGCCAGGTTTTTTGTATATGACTTTAAAAACTTAACAGGGGACTTTATATTTTATTTTAATTGGAAACCATTGTAGTTGATTAAGTAGTGCTAGTCCCCTAGTTAGATCAGTACTTATAGTACTTGGCAAGAAAAGCTTGAGGCAAGCAAGACTCATTAAGAGACTGTTGCTGTAATCTAGCCTACATGTTACCCAATCTTCTTGCTTATATCTCCACAACATCTCTCTTATCTGTTCCCTTCTCTCTATCCATACAGCCACTACCCTAGTTTAGGCTACTTCATCTCTTTGTAGTATCCTCATAATTCGTCTTTCTGCCTTGGCTCTTCCCTTCTCTGTCTGACAGTAAACATTTAGTAAGCACCTACATATGGCAAGCACTGTCCTAAACTCTGGGGCTGCATCAAAAAGTAAAAGATAGTCTTCTTTCAAGAAGTTTGCAACATACAAGCCACTATGTACAAACAGGATATGTACATAAAAATTGGAAATAATAATGATAATAGCTAACATTTATAAAGCCTTTGCTCTTTGTCAGGCACTATCAACAGAGGAAAGATGTTCTCAAGGACTGGGACAGGCTTCCTGTAGAAGGTAGAATTTCAGCATGGACTTGAAGGGAGCCAGGAAGCTCTGTCGTCTACACGGTGCTGGAAATGATATTTCTAAAGCACCCTTTTTGTCACTTCCCCAGTAATCTTTAGTAGGTTCTCTTCTCTTTTACCCCAAAGATCAAATACAGACTTTTCTGTTTGACATTTAAATCTTTCACAACCTACCCCCTTCTAATTTTCCACTTTTCTTGTATATTACAGCCCTTCGTGTACTTTATGGTATACTTTATGATCCAGAATTACTGGCCTACTTGCTATTCCTTACATATAATAACATGATATTCCACTTCCTATCTCCGTGCCTGGAACACACTCTTTTATCACTTCTGCCTCTTTCAATCTCTGCTTTCTTTTAAACTTGAACTAAAACACCACATTCCAGGGAGGCTTTCCTGGTCCCCAAACTGCTAGTGCCTTCTCCTTCAAGGCTACACATGTCTCCTTTATCAGAGTGTAAGCTTATTGAAAGCAAAGGCTATATTCTTTTTTCTTTGTATTCCTAGCACTTAGCGCAGTGACTTTATGAAATCATGATATCCAGTCTCTTTTTATTATAAATGAGGAACCTGAGATGCAGAGAGGTTGAGTGTCTTGTCCAAGTCCCATGTGGTTGTTGTAGAGGTTGTTGCACAGTAGGTTGCAGAGCTGGGATTCGAACCAAGGTTCTCAGGCTACAAGTCCAGCATTCTTTTCATAATGCCATATCCTCCAACGTAGGGAAATTTGAAGGTTGAAGGATTGATGGGTTTTGTTGGAAAGACCCTAAGTTCCATTTGGACAAGATTAGTTTGAGATTCCCTCAGGATATCCATTTGGAGATGTCTGATAACTGGTGATGTCAGGGTGAACCTCAGGAGATATTAGGGCTGTATGTATAGATGTGGAAGTCATATGCACAAGAATCATTGAGCTTATGAGTTGAGATGTGAGAGAGAGACAGAGTCAGACCCACACCTGAGCCTTCTGGGATGGGGGTGGAATCCACCTACTTTTAAAGCATGCATGGATGATAATCCAGTAAAGGAAATTAAGAAGTAGTCAGACAAGTAGAAGAGCTGGAATGAGCAGTGTCATGAAAATCCAGATAGGAGAGTGTACCAGAGGGAGGAAGTAGGTTGGGGTGACTGGAGGAGGGACCTGATAAAGGGGTCTAGGGAAGATCTTAATAGGAGTGACTGGGAGGTAGAATGGGGTCTAGATGGGATCGAGGGTGGGAAGTGAGATAGGGAGGTAACAGACAATGAAAGTTGTTCTGGGTCAGAGGTAACAGAATTGGAAGATTGAGTGTAGCCACAATCAAAGTAGTCACAATGATGAAAGGCCAGTTGAGAGGATTAGTGGCATGATGCCTCAGGCAAACGCCTAGACTTGGCCTTGTGGGGAAAGAGTGGGTCCAACTAGAAGTTATCTAATCCAGTATTTTTATTCTTCTTTAATTATGTTACCATGTTTGCTGCTTTTTCTCTTACAAACATTTTCACTTCAAGCTTCCTGTACCACCCCTCTTCTTTCTAGAGAGTATTTCTCCTCCTAATTTGAGAAAATCAAAACAAACTGTCATAAGTGCCTTTTCCTCTTTGTGGAACACAGTTCTTCAAAACTTTGGTTTATGTTCCCCTATTTTCTCCTCCTTTGCCCCTGGTCTCTTATGAGAAGGTCTTTCTCATTGCTGATGCCAGCATCTTTCCTCTGTTTGTACTCTTGGTCATATCCCCATCCATTTCATGGGATCATAGAACTATACAGAAGAAACTCCAGATATCACGTAGCTCCTTTGTTTAAAAGAATTGGAAACTGAGGCACTCAGGGAGATTAAATGACTTGCCCAAAGTCACAAAAATGTTAAGCATCAGAAGTGGAATACCAACTGAGGTTGTCTGACTCTAAAGAGTTGGGTATTATTCCTTCCCCCTATGATATTAATCCTCTTCCTATCTACTGACTCCTACCTAGTTACTTTGTGAAGACACCTGGGTCTCTGGTCTGTCCTTGAGAAACTTTGACTTCACTCTACTATTCTCTCAAAGCTCTTGTCCTGTTTCTTTCCTTTCATCGGCCATCTACACTCCTTACTTCTGTTTCCTCTTTTCTCATTCACTGCTCCAACCCCTCCTGCTCTGACTTCTGACCTCACCACTCAACATGTCATCTTTGTGGTTACCAGTTATCTTTTAACTGCTGAATACAGTGACCTTTTCTTCACTGTAATTTCTTTTGTTCTTTCATTATTTGAAACTTTTGACTATTTCTGTTGGATACTGTATCTTTACTAGGTTTTCATGACAGTGCTCTTTTCTAGGTCTTCTGCCTGTGTGATGAATGAAAGATAAAATAACTGTCTCCTTTATTGGATCATAATCCACTCCCTACTCTCTAAATTATGAGACCCTCAAGGCTCAGTCCTAACTCCTTCTTGATAATTTTTGGGTCCAGTTATCTATGCAGATGGCTTCCAGATGTGTATGTCTGGCCCTTATCTCTTTGAGCTCCAGTTCTGCATGACTTACTGCTGTTGAACATCTCCAATTGAATATTCAGTAGGCAAAGCAAACTAAACATGTCCAAAGTGAAATTCTTCATTTCTCCCTAGTCATAGTCTTCCTCTAAACTTTCCTGTTTTTGTTGAGAGCACTGCCGTCTTTCCAGTTACATAATTTCTAGGTTCATAATTGCTATAAATCCCAACTCCTCTCTCTTCCAAATGCCTACCCATAACCAATCGCTTGTAAAGTCATGCCAATTTTACCTCTGTCGCTTATTTTCCCCCCATTTTCTTCCCTTAAGTTACAAAAACCATTGTCTTATTTCAGGCCATCATTACCTCTTATTGTAGTATCTCCCTTATTTGTCTGCCCATTCCTAGATTTTGACTTTTTTAGTCTAAAAGCTCAAGACTGACCCTATCACTGGCCTGTTCAGGAATCTTCAGTGATTTCCTGTTTCTTCTGGAATAAAATGGAAAGTCCTCGGCTTGTCATTTATAACCCTTCTTTTTCCAGCTTGCCTGTCCTGATTTATAGTCCATTTTACCCCCTTTCACATACTCTGCCTTCCAGCCAACCTGGCTTACATACTTTTCCTCAAGTGTGTCATTCCATCCATTTCTTGGCACGAGTAGGATGGTCCTAATGCCTGAAATGCGCTCCCATCTTACCCCTTACATCTTAGTTTTCCCAGCTTAATTCAAAATTCACCTCACTTGTGTTCACTCTTTTCTGAAATTTTCATATTTTTACTTATTTGTTTACATGGTATGTCCCTCAGTCTCTGCTTTTGTAAAATGAAGCAGTTGGGACTAGAAGATCTCTAAAATCTTCCAATTCTAATTACTTAATACAAGTCTGAATCTCTAAATAGTGTCCTTAATAGTTTAGTTATTTAAAAAGACTTTTTCCTTAATTTACTAAGTATGTAACTAATGGGACAGGTCACTTAAACACCCTGAGCCTCAGTTTTCTCATCCTTAAAATGAGGTAATAATAATACCTACCTTATACGGTTGTTGTCAGGACCAACTGAGATAATGTACATGTGTAAAATTCTTTGTAAACCATAAAATGTGCTGTGCATATGTTAGCTACTATTGTTGTCAGTCAAACCATTTTGTATTCACTAAATATTTATGGTATTTTGTTTTTTTTTAAATTATATACATTTTCAAAAATATCCATATGGTTTTATTAAATATTTTTAATTTTATTATTTTACAAATTGATTTTTTTTCCTTTGACTAAAGCTGTTTCATTTCTATAGCTTAGGGTTGACTAAATAGATGGCAAAGAATAACGTGGTTTAAGAAGATAAATGTCAGGAGCATTTTCTAAAGTAGACATCCAGCCTTTTGGATTAATAGGAAAGAAGGTCAATAATTGCATGGATTTCAATAAGCTTGAGAAAAGTAGTATTCCTGTGGTGCAACAATGATATTAAAACATTGAATTTTCTTCTAGATGTACTATTTAATATTGTGGCATCATTGCCCATTTTAATTGCTTACTTATACAGATTATCAAAAATAATTGGTAAGTCAATTAATATTTTTAGACAAAAGCTTTATATTCTGTGTAAGTATCTTAGAAGTGTTGGTAAATTTTCATGCTTTTTCATAACTTAATTTTATTTTTTTTCTTTGTTTTTTAGGTTCCTCCAGAATTTCCACAGCATACTCCTGGGCCTGTTCCTACCAATTTCAATCAGCCCCCACGGCTTCCTCTCCAGGACCAATGGAGAGCCCCACCACCTCCCCAGGACAGAGACCATTTCTTCTTAGGAGGTACATCAATAAGAAATTATGTGATTTTTGAGTAAGATTATTAATATAATAAGTCTACTAGTTATGTTCATAGTATTAAATTCATTACCTGTAGATATATTTTGTTTGAATTCAGTTCAACCAAACATCAGCATCTGGAAATTTTTTTTAATTACAGGTTGTTCAGCCTTACTCCAGTAGCATCAGTTGAAGAGAGTTTTATTTGGGATCTGAAATTTATAGGGTGTTAAACAAGAAAGAGATGAGTTGATAGAAAATATCCAGTAATTTTTCATTTTGTTTATATTTTTAAAATAAAATTTTCATTTCCATTCAAGGAGTATAAACATTCAAATGTATGATCAAGAAAAAATGAATTACATAAGGCAATATAGAACCTTTAAAGAAAAAGTAACAGAAGAGTAATTACAGTAATATGTTAAGCTGTCTATTTGAATTTAATTAGTTTATACTGATTATTTTGAAAGAAGAAAATACTTAGTGACATTATTTGGTAGGAAAGGGGAAAATTTATACCTTTTGAGTCTGAATTGAACCTTCAGTCCTATAGGGTCAATAGTTAAACATAATTCTGTTTCGTCTTAAGATAGTACTAAGAAGTTCATATTCCTATCAAGAAGATAATATGCTTGTAATATCATTTAGTTTCAGGAGAACCAAGGTTCCCGAGCCATCCTTTGTTTGAGCAACGAAGTCCCCCTCCACCGCCACCACCTCCCACGATTCTTAATAGTAGTCATCCTGTTCCTACCCAGAATCCCTTGCCTTTTACTCAGCCTGGACCAGCTTTTAATCAACAGGGACAGCAACCAGTATTTCCCAGAGAAAGGCCTGTAAGACCAAACATTCAGCCTCCAGGTCCAGTGGGGATTCTTCACTTCAACCAACCGGGCTCCGCAAATACACGGCCTTTCATTCCTCCCAGACAACCATTCTTACCTGGCCCAGGACAGCCATTTCTTCCAACACACACACAGCCTAATATGCAGGTATGGAAGATGAGTAAAACTAACTTCATTTAAAACAAATATAGGCAAATATGACATTTAGAGCCATATGGGGCTTGTTGTGGACATTGGGAAAATGATTAGCCTAATAATAAGAAAACTAAATCTTATTAGTACATTATTTGCTGTGCTTATAAAAGTAAAATCTGTGTCCCTATAATTTAACTATTGCAAGGAGTATTTGAAAATCAAAAGCAATGACTTCCTTTGGAAATGAACAAGTTAATGTTAAGATTTTATTTTACTGCAGATTAAATTAAAAATTTTTGTATTCAGTTCACCACTGTAATGATTTCTTAAGTTAATTCTGGGAGGATTGTGAAGTTATTATTTAAAATTACATTCCGAAAGGGTATACTGGAAAGATTTGTATATATTCTGGACAAGAAATGTTGGTGATGCTATTCATTTACTGTTATTATTTGAAAGTCTTGAGTGCCCTCTGCTGATAAAAATGAATCTTGAATTTGTTACAATGTTCTGTATTTATAGGGCCTCTCTTACAGAAGAATCTTCTTTTTTTTCTTTAAGCACACTCTGAAAATATCAGAGAGAGATGATATGTTTGGTTTCTAGGAGTTCAACCTCTCAGCACGTTTTATAGATTCAACAGGCATAGATACTGAAGAATGAAATTTATCTTATTTGAAGAAGAACCAACTTTAGTAATACTAATGTAGGGATAATTATTATTAAATTTTAAGGTAGTAGTCTGGCATAATGATAGTCTATTACAATCATCATAGCAAATCTTAAAAATGAAGCTTCATTAAGATCATCCAAAATTTGTCCCAATAGATTGGCTTTTTCTAAGAAATTGATGTTAGAGTATAGTAAGTACAAATATGTATCTTAAATTGTTTTCCTTCTTTTTTTCATTGAATTATGAAGGGACCCTTGCATCCTCCATTACCACCACCACATCAACCCCAGCCTCAGCCTCAACAGCAGCAGCAGCCCCAACATCAACAACAACAGCCCCAGCATCAGCCACAACATCATCAGCATCAGCCCCAACACCAGCCCCCGCTTCAGCCCCAACACCAACCTCCTCACCAACCTCCACATCAGCCTCCACCCCAGCATCAGCCTCCACACCAGCCCCAACATCAACCCCAGCACCAACCTCAGCACCAACCACCACACCAGCCTCAGCACCAACCTCAGCAGCATCAGCCTCAGCATCAGCATCACCATCACCTTTCTGTCCCACCACCACCTCTGATGCCCATGTCTCAGCCACCATTTAGGCCTCACATGCAGACTTCTCAGCCCCAGCAAAATAACAATAGAATGCAGTGCCCTCAGCGACAGGGTCCAAGACATGTAAGTATAAATCAATATTTTGAATTCTTTTTTAGGTCATATAATTTAAAATAATAGCTTTTCTGCTATAATTTAAGATAGTCATTGATATACAAACTTCTGTTACGTTTCTCCTAACTAGATTTCCCACCCTATCTACCCTTTGATGACGTTCAGGAAACTGACGGCTTCAGTTGTGTGTGTGCACGTGCATGTGCACTTATATATATGTATATGTTCATTTCGCATATGTGTATGTAGATATAACACACCATACATGTACATATACACATACTTTTTCTGAAGAAAAAATAATACTTTTATGGTTATTTTGTTTCAGCTTCAGATTTTTTAAAGAATGGCTGTATATGGAGAGATAGGTACAAAAAAATATATTATTAGAAAGCTTTTGTATACTTTTTAGAGAGTCTCCATATTTGTTTAAGGTTTACAGTTTTGAACACTTTTTCTCTGCATACAAAACAATACAAACATTTCTTCGTAAATAAAAGGTCAATATTAACAATTCTTACTTCTGGAAGAACTGATAGTGTGCAAAAGGAGAGAAGGCTATTGGATTTCCTGTGTCAGGAACAAGAAGCAGGGTGGTTAATGGAAGAATACTGAGCTTCCTCAGAGGTGCCTGGGTTCTAGTCTTAGATCTGACAGAGATTTGTTGTTGCCTTTTTTTTTTTAAAGTATTGGACCACCTTGAGCTATAGTTTTATCATTTATGCCTGTTCTTTAAAAGCTGCCCCTTTATCCCTTCAGTGAATCTTGTGGGGCTGTAATGAGAAGACATTGTTAAGCTCCATAACTTTTTTTAAACAGTGGTAGATTTTCTGAGTTCTGTATATAAAATACGCAACCTGAATAATCTAAGAGCTCAGCAGCCCTTAAACATCTGCTATGTTATAGGCACTGAAAATACCTGTATAAACTTTACTATTCCTATTCCCATTGGTTAAAAAATGCTATTTCACAGAGTTTCCCATCTCCCTCAGGAATCTTCTAGAAACACCCTTTATTTGTATAACCGTTGTCATTATTAGGATCAGAGAGATCTAGAGATTAAATTGACTTCATTTTACAGAAGGGGAAACTAAGGCCCAGGGAGGTTGTGATTTTTGCAGGGGTCTCACAGGTAGCAGTCACAGAGGTGGGATTCAAATCTAGATCATCTAACTCCAGACTCAGAGCTCTTTGTACAGTACAGTGCTTCCTCCTAAGATATAATCCCTATCCTGAGCCTTCCTTCTATCCTCAGATATCCTCTACTCACCTTTGTTATTCATGTGTGTGTGTGTATGTGTTTTCCATTTTGAAGTATGTCCTTCAAAGCAGTGATATCAAACTCAAATAGAAATGAGGGGACGGCTAAACTGTTCATAAACATCTCTGCAGGCTGTATCATGATGTAGAAAACCACATTTTAATATAATCTTATGTTTATTTTGTTAAATATATCTCAGTTATATTTTAATGTGGTTCAGGCCATACTCAGTGTTTTTGGCTCATGCTGTGGGCTGTGTATTTGACACCCATCTTTGGAGTATTTTTCCTCTTCTAAGAAACATACCTTCTTGGAAAATTGCCATGTGTACTGAATGCTTTTTGTTTGTTTTTTGCCGGTATCAGTGGCCATTTTGTTAAAATACTTATCCATCAATGAGGTTTACTTCTTATGATAGTGAACTTTTTTTTTCATACTAAATGAAGTTTAAATCACATGTTTAAAGCTGACAAATTAGCTTTTCCAATTTAGATAGAAGTATGAGACCATCATAGAGAACATCTATACTGGCTGGTCTGTCACTCTGGTTACCATTGTCTTTCTTGCTGCAGCTGTCAGCTGGTACTGCATAAGTTTTAAAAACATAGCTGGAAATCCCTTGCTTGCATAGAATTACAAAATATTTATGTGCTTCATTAGGTCAGATATTTCAGAATTTGGGGTAAATTATAGTGTGAACAGTGGGGTTGGGGGTTAGGAGAATCTACTCTGATTGTAGTATTGTTTTCTTGTTTATGTACATTTTTTGTTCTTTTTCACCAGTATCTATTTCTGATTAGAAATTATCTTTTTTCTTATGACAGAATGCAGCTTCACAGAATGTTGTCAAGCGGCCAATTCAGCAAATGCAGCCAACTGCTCCAAGAAATAGCAATTTGCGTGAATTACCAATAGCACCATCCCATGTTATAGAAATGAGTAACAACCGTTGCTCTGCTACACCTGCAGCACAAGTGAAACCAATTACAAGTACCCCACCCCCTTCAAGATCTGTTGTAGGTGTCAGGGCCCCACAGGGAAAGACTGAAATGAAAGTTAAACCAGTCAGCCCAGTGGTTCAAGCTAAAGTAGAAGTGAAAACAGAACCAGAGGTAAGACTTTTGTTTTTATACATTTTTCTCTCTCAAACCCCAAACCTCATATTTATCTATATTCAGTTCTTCTCTGTCTTGCTTTCCACAAAAAGACCCTGCCACTTTTTCCTGGACTATGGTTCATGCGTTAGTCTCTTCCTTTCCTGTTATTTATCTCTTGGCCTTCTACCCATTGAGCTATGACAAGCTTACTAATCACTAGAACTAATTTCTGTCTTTACTGCTTTCCTGTATTCTTTTTATTCAGTTTTCAAACTGACTTCCCTAGGAGTGGTTCTGTCAAAGCAGAATGAATACCTAGGTAGTTTCGATTGTGCCATTCACTCTCAGACTACTCTGGCTTCCTGTCACATGGCTAAGGCCTCAACCTCTAGGCTTTTCCCTTCTGCTCCCCTGCAAAGGCTTACTTCTGCAGGCAGATCTCCTTTCATTATGTACCCTGTGCATGGAAATCCTTTGTGTATGCAATTTGTAAATTCCCTCCTTTGTTTAACTACCCCATGAAATTCTTTTTTCATAAAGTTAAAGGATCATAGATGGGAGAGCTGGAAGGAGCCTTAGAAACCATCTAGTCCAAACTCCCCTCATTTACATTTCTTTCCTGACTATTATAATTGGAAATGAATTGGTGATAATATTCTCTAGCTTCACTTTCTCCAAGTTTGTAATTCTTTTCAATCACTGTAGACCATATCAAATAACACACCTTTCATCTATATGTAACTATTCCATTTGATTCCCATATTTGTCCTGTATTTGGTTTTTATGTCTTATTTTTGTGTATTGTCACACCTAACATAGTTTTAGCCACCAGTTAGTTACTTGGTTAAAGAAAAAGTTATTGATGATATTTATGTAGCTAAGTAATGTACAAAAGGAATAAATACGGTATAAAATGAATGACCTCAAGATTCCAAATTTGGAATTTGATATACCCTATGAATTTAATCTTGCTTGCTGATTTATTTATTTACAGGGAGGAGATAGGGTGATTTGGGGGGTTATAGGATTTACTTAATTTGGAGGGGCAGACATAGGTGTAGTTATGTTGGACCAGTCTTTAGATGAGGAAAGTAGTTGATGTATTTTTAACTTTTAATTTAGTAACATTTATATGCATTTGCCAAGTTAAGTGCCAGGGCACTTTGAATGAGACCAGTAGCTTCTAAAAGTCATTTGAAATTTGTCCTGCTGACACAGTTAAATTTCTGTTTCTTTTCAGAGATGTCTGGTGACATCATTTCAAGGCTAGCACCAAGAATAATGTATGAACAATGTTCAATATCTTTGGAATTCGAGACTCTAGGAAGCTACTAAAATTCTTTTTTTTCCCCTTAGCCTAGAGCTTTGGCAATCTGTAATGCTTTTTGAGCTTTGTTGATCTTATGATATCCAGTTAATATTTTTGTATTTTGCTAGTGACTTTAATTTGGCTCACATGAATGAGAATCATCTTTTTTGGTTAAAAAAATTCTCTAAGGACCTATTATAGCAATTTTATGGTACTTATCAGAGATCCAAAAACATAATTTTCAGAGTTAAATTGTTCTATACACATTTTATTTGTGCTTAATGTTAGTCTCTTTACCCTTCAGCTGTCAAGTTTAATATTCATAACATCTTAATGGGAGAAGATGGGCATTATTTTGCTTGTTGTAAAGCTAAACAAGTATATAATAATCAGGATATTGGTTATTATTTGCTTTGTAGAAATAATTCTTAACTTTTATAAAAGGTTTTATCAAAAGATTACTTTACATTATAAGCTACCTTAGTATATTTGGAATAGTTTGATTTAGAAAAAATTTGTACTTATATATCCATAATTTCCCTATAAGATTAAAAAAGTAGACTGGTTTGGGAAACTTCTACTTTAAGAGATATAACTGTGAAGAAAAAATATAAGGATAAATAAAAATTATTACCACTTCTTTAATAGCTCATGATGAGAGAGAGGACCTGAGTAGCCTTTAGACTTTTTTTCCCAACTGCTCTTTTGGTGTGGTTTATCTTGATAACAAATATTTACATATAATTCTACCAATTCCACAGTAATTTAGTTTGTTTGCTAAGGAAGTTTTTATGAAAGTGTTGAACAGTAAGTGTTAAAGGCAGAATTTCAGGGCTAAATAGAATTTACCTGGTAAATTACAAGAAATTACTTAACTATGAACGCAGATGTTCGTTTGGGCAGTAAATATCTTAATAGCTTAATAAAATGTTGTAATATTATTTGCAGTGATGGAGGACAGTAACAGCTCCCAGGCGGCGTCATTTGAACTTGACGTTTAAAAATTAATATTCCTGTTTTTTTGTTCAGGTTAATTTTGCCATTGGCTTCACTTCCCAAAACTTGCACAAATGATTGGTAGTGATGGAGAGCAGAATGAAGCTAATATATTGTTGTGACTGATTGACAAACAGATAATTGAGGGGAGATTGACAATTCTCATTGCAGTGTAATCAGAACTATCTTACACCCTCAGGGAATGAGTTCTGGATAGCTGAAGAATTAACCCCTGGAGCACAAGCACGTCTGATGGAAGTCTTTTTAAAATGTTATCCTAGACCTCTGTGCTCAACACACTGATTTGTCCATGTTTTAAACTTTTTCTTGATGACTCAGTATCATCATTATTCATGTAACTTACTATATTTTATTGTCGTCGTAATAAAATAGCTTTTTTAGGAGCCATTGAGGGATGCAGATCTTGTCACCATATACCCAGACAGCCCTAGGCCATAGTTTTTCTGTTGTGCTTCTGTCATCTCTCATTTTTGTAGATTTATCTTACTCCCTCCTTCTGATGTGCAATTTCTCATCCACTATGGACTTGGAAACTGGCAAAGTAGTCTTGTTAGAATTGTGTTTTAAGTAAGAGTAAATAGACCTTTGGTGAGAATGAATGAAATGCATGAGGTTTATTGTCTGGATATTAATTTTGCTTGCACAAAGGCCATTTTACCTTACTTCCTAGTTCTTGACTGTTTCAGATATGTGTGGTTGCCAAATAGGTAATGGATGGATAAAGTGGTATTTTTTTGATGTATACACTAGGTGGGGAAACTTGTGTTGTTTTTTTTAAGAAAATATATCATCAGAATAAATTTCTTTAAATATTTCCTGTTTTGTTTCATTTGCAAAACCTCTACAAAGGTTATTTGTCACACGGTATAGTGATTTCAGAAAGGCCTTAGACTAGAATATTAAAGGATTCCATATATACCATTAATATTCCAGCACTGCATTTGGCAACATTTTGATTCTGAAGAGAGTGCATGAGTTCAAGGTCAGAGAGATTGACTTGTGCTGTTCATTATAACCAATTATTGTGTGACAAATGAGTTTGAGATCAGCCTGAAAATTCTGTAAGAAAAATCAATAGTTCTAATCAGGGCCTTTCAGGTCATTTACTACCCTACCTTTTGTTAGTTTGTCAGAAAAGAGCAAGATAAAACCTGTGTGTGACAGCGGGTTGCCTTGGTATTGTTGCCATTTCCATTTGAAACATATTTTGATAACTTAAATGAGTACTTTAATTGGTTTCAGAAACTTCTAAATGAGTAGAAATTTACATGATTTCATTTTTAATATTCTGATAAGATTCCCAAATTAGCTTTAGCTGGGCTTCCTCCCCCTTCCAGAGGCAAGGAAGTTATATCTAAATGGGAAATAAATCCTAGGAAAAAAATCTTAAAGCAGATTTTAAATGGTTTTATACGAATAATGAATGGTTTGGGGAAGATATGTTTTCTTAGTAGTTCTGGTTGGTTGTTTGGATTGGCCCACATGCATTTCACTATATTAACAAAAAATGTGTGTTTCCTATTTAGTTTCCTGATGAAGATGAAGAAACTAGGTTGTATCGTTTAAAGATAGAAGAACAGAAACGTTTAAGAGAAGAAATCTTGAAACAAAAGGAACTACGACGGCAGCAGCAGGCTGGTGCTAGAAAGAGGGAATTACTTGAAAGACTTGCACAGCAGCAACAGCAGCCTTATACCCCACAGCCCCCAGTACAGCAGGAGGAACAAATGTCACTCTCACCCACTAATGGGAGTCCACTGCTACCTTATCCTGGTGCACAAGTTAGACAAAATGTAAAAAATAGACTTCTTGTAAAAAAGCAAGACATCACTATTACAAATGTTCAGCCCAAAACTTCAAATTTTGTACAAGCTGGTGCTAATTTGCAATACCAAGGACAACCAATGAAACCAATGAAACAGTTGAGACAGAATAGAACAGTACCTCAAACTCAGCCCCAGCCATCTCACAAAGTACTTCAAGCAAAGCCTCCAGACACGGACGAATTGCCAACCCCAACACAGACTACTAGAGTGGCATCAGTACAAGGCCAGCCCCAGGAAATGAAACCTGGAGTGAAAAGGACTGTCATGCAGCGGGCAAACAGTGGTAGTGGAGATGGGCCACATGTCAGCTCCAAAGTCAGGGTGATTAAGTTGTCAGGAGGGGTAAGTTTACAAATTTTGTGAGTGTTTCTCTTTGATTTGGGCTTTTATTTAGTGCCATCCTAAAATACACAGAAAACTTTATTGAAGAAAATAAAACAATTGAGTGAAACTATTTGCCTCTGTTATAGTCATGTGAATTAGCTTACCTACTTTTAGTTGGTTAAAGAATTTGCTATTAATCCCAATTCATATTTGGTTGTTTTCATTTTGCTTTTGTGTTTTAATGAATGTCAGTTTGCCTAGAATGTACCAGAGAGAAAAATTAATTTGTCATATCTTCAGATCCACTGAGGCCAAAAATTCTTGAACCATTCTTTCACACTGAAAAGGGATTATATATTTAGGGTCATCTAATTGTCCTGAACTTCCTTCTCCGCTACACCCCTAAAAACAAACAAAAAGTAAATCGTAAGACTGTGGAATCTATGGCCTAAATTGATTTTAATTTATAGGTGACTTCATCATGACGTAGGTGGGAAGGGTTATACTCTTTTTCAAAATTACTATGTATCCGTCCTTGTGACTTTTGAACTGTATTTAGTGATTAGTTTCACTATTTTCCTGTTAAGTAGTTTAGAGAGGCTTTATTTATAGTACCACAAAATAAGGTCCTTTTAGCTATAAAGAACCCTGTTATAACAAGTACCTATGTGTATAGAAATTGTCTTTGTCTAGAAGATCCAAAGTAATAGCATTTTTCAATGTGGTTTAAGTCAGTTTTCTGAAACAATTTCTTTCTCTGGGACTTTTTTCCATAAGTCAGGTTCTGTGATAAAAATCCTTTATTATGTGTCATTAATGTAAAAATAGAGAGCAAGTCACACTACTGCAAGGTTTTTTTTAATCAAGCTATTAAATAATAATTACTTTCAGCTTTTCTTACTTTTTAAATTGTAAAAATTTGAACTAACCAGAAATTAAATGCCCGCAAAACATTATGATTAATAAGAAATTTTTAAAAACCTCAGAAGTTAGGTTGACATAGCCTTCTTTCTCTTTATAAGAGTCAAAGTATTTTTTTTATTACAAATACTCTAGATAGTAATTCTGTTTCATCTTTAGGCGTGATAGACTGAAAATGTATGTGTGTGTTTTTAAAGTTATATATATATATATATATATGCACACATAGTAACAAAATGATAAATATTGTAATGGAATCCTACCAAAATTTTTGTAGCTGAATTCAGTGTTCTTTTCCCACTTTTATTGTGGTTCAAAACACTGATAGTTTAATAATTTCAAAAATTTTATTATTTATTTTAAACTTTTTTTCTTTGTAAATTTTGAGTTCCAAATTCTTTTTACCCCTATATCACCCACTGAGATGGCAAGCAATATGGTATTAATTATACATGTGAAATTATGCAAAACACTTCCATATAAGCCATATCGATGCTCTCTTCTCCCCTCAAATCCACCCCCCCCCCGGGAGAAAATTATACTTCAGTTTGCATGCAGAGTTCATCAGTTCTCTCTCTGGAGGTAGATAACATTTTTCATCATGAGTCCTTTGAATTGTCTTGGATCATTGTATTGATCAGAGTAGCCGCATCTTTCACAGTTCATCTTCATTACAACATTGCTGTTCCTGTCCTGCAATGATTTCATGGTTCTTCTCACTTCACTTTGCATCAGTTCATGTAGGTCTTGCCATGTCCGAAACCACCCCTGGTCATTTTTTATAGCACAGTAGTACTCCATCACAATAATATGCCACAACTTGTTCAGCTATTTCCCAATTAATGAGCATCCCCTCAATTTCTAGTTCTTTGCCACCTCAAAAAAAACTGCTATAAATATTTTTGTGCACATAGGTCCTTTTCCTTTGATCTATTTGGGCTACAGATCTAGTAGTAGCATGATAGTTTAATTTAACAAATACTTACTGAGCACCTACTTTGTGCAAAATGCTTTGTAAGGTACTATGTCAAAAAAGATAAATAGTCCCTAACCTCAAAGAACTTAACAATTCACTAGCGAAGCAACTACTCCACAAACAATTGTAAAACAAGGCAGATACAAGCAAAGTAGATACAAGCAAATGCTTGAATAGTGTTGTGTTTCAGAGGGGGGGAAAGTGATTAAATTTGGCAGAGATGGCTTCAGGTTATTTTTCCTGAAGGGAGGCATCATTTCAGCTGTCTTGGAAGGATGGGTGAAATTTCTTAAGAGAAATAAAAAGGGAGGACATCAGAGCAGAGGAACAAGAAGTTCATAGGAGCAATCGATTAATAAACATGTATTAAGCACCTATTGTATACCAGGCACTCTTCTAAGCAGTGCAGATACAGAAAGAGGCAAAAGACAAATCAGTGCCCTCAAAGAGCTTATAACCTAATGAGGAAGACTACATGCAAACAAATACATAAAAAGTAAACTATATGTAGGATAAATAGAAAATAATTAACAGAGGAGGAGAGTTGGAGATGTGTATTATTTGTTCATGGAAGAACTAGTAGTCCAATTTGAATGTAGCTTAGAATATATGTTAGAGAAGTCGTGGAGGCAAGACTAGAAATGTAATTTGTAGTCATATTATGAAGAATTTTGAATGTTATATTGAGGAATTTAGACAACACTGAATAGTAAGGAAACATTGAAAATTTTTGAAGAGAACAATGGTGTAGTCAGAGGTATGCTTTTAGATAATTAGTTTGGCCCCAGAAATAATGGAAGATTGATTAAAGGGGAGAGAAAGCTTCAGAGAGGTCTCCAGGAGGCCATAAATCAGTATAGTAAAAATGGGAAGGAAACGGTGAAAGTAGGAGATGTTTAGGGTATGATTTCTAGAATATGGTGACATAGTGAAGATGAAAGAAGAAGTATTCATTAAAGATGACTCAAATATTTGAGCATGAGTGATATTTTTTACAGAATTAAGGAATTTAGGAAAAAGACCTAGTTTGGGGGAAGGACAAATGATGATTTAATTTGAATTGATTTGTGGAGTTTGAAGTGCCAGTAGGACATCTAGATGGAGATGTTCCTCAGACAGCTGTCAGTGTGAAACTAGCTGAGCAAAGAGGTTAGAACTAGAAGTAGAGATTTGGTAGTTATCTTTATAGAAGGTCTGGGCATCACTCAGATCATCAAGTAAATGTGGAAATAAAGGAGAGGATGAAAAGTAGAATTTTAGGTAATGTCAACATTTAGTGTGCAGAAGAAAGAAAATGAACTACTGAAGAAAAATGAGAAGGAACAGGTAGGAAGAGAACAAGTCTGATGCAATATCATACTATCATAAGAGAAAAGAGATTTTTCAGGAAGAATGGGATCAGCCATATCAGATACTAGTTCTCTGATCTAGGAGGAGGAAGGCTTTGTTGTATTTTGACAGGAGAACAGTAGATGAAATCATATGACTAAGTTTAGGTTGATTTATTTATAATAAGAAATTCAGAGAATATTACAGTTTTTGGTTTTCCAGAGAAAAGTTGTCTTTTATCACCATAACTTTTTGCTCATGTAATAGTCCATAATTGTCATTACTGATTTATTTTGAGTCACAATTTTAAGAAGTAGAGCAAAGTTATATCTACATCTTTTGCCACAAAAGCTCTCATTGAACATAAGGTTTGTTATTTAAACAGAGCACTATCCCAGACACCGTGGAGGTGTTAAGAAGTAGTCTTCACCTTTCATTTATTAAAAATTATTAGTGTCTCTTTGAATTTTGCCATATCATTTACTTTAGAATTGGAGATCATTTTCACAATGAAGGATTCTAAAAGTAACTTGTACAATTTTGTTTCTAAAATAAAACCAAAAAGAACCATCTTTTTGAAGATAGGTTTTCAGTAAATCTTTGGATTTTATCTTATTTTTCCTTGACAATGTTAATTTTTTTATTCCTTCCAACATAAATAAAACATTGACTAAGCTAAAATAGGAAAAAGTAATTTTTTATAAAGAATAATTTTGTGTCCCTCTGAACTGCCATTAGTGACATTGCTTTCGTGACCTTAGTTTATCTTATGATAGTTTGGGGTTTATTTTAAAGAGTCACACTATATAATTGTGATTAATGAAAATGTGATCATTTCTGAGCCTTTTCTCCCCTGACCATGGACTGCAAATCTGTATCCAAGGGTTATCTTTTATGTTATAAGACTGTTGGTGCACATATATGTGACAGTTCTGTAGCATTCAGATTGCAGAGTCTAGAATTGGACCTAGCTCTCTAGTACCTAGTCTCTTAGTACCTGACTGCTACTAAGCTGTTGGAAGGATTGCATCATGGTTCTGATCCAAAATATTTGGGCATTTCACATATCTGGGTTACTCATTTAATAATAACATTCCTTTATTTTTTTCACATTCATTTTGTAGCTCACTGTGACCCATATGTCCCTTAGTACAAAGTTAGTCATTTCTTATCTTGTATTTATGAACCTTGCCTGTGAAGAAAAGAAGCAATTTTATTTTCCTCACTATATACAAAGCCCAAACTTGTCCTTAATAACTATAATTGAATTGTTCCTTGCATGTAACAATCTACTTCTTCCAGTATTCAGTGTCTAGGAAAAACTTGGAACTTTCGCAGTATGCAATACCTGCCAAGAAATTATACTCTGGTGAATGATCACTATTTAAAAAATTTCAAGTGTACTCTTCACTTAGTGAACCAGAATTTTCTTTGAATTCTTGTTCTGGCATCCACATGGGGAAAATCTTACAACTTAATTAGATTGCTGTAGATGTAGTTATACTTAATGAGTCAATTATAAATCAAAACAATTCTTATTTTCTGTCCTTTCTTAACTGCTCATAGTCAGCATTTATAGCTTTGAATTTTATTGAGCTTTTCAGGGGGTGGTACAGATAATGATTCTTGAGGCGTGTTATTTTTGAGTCTTTTGTTATATTATCTATAGTGATGTTAATTCACCTGTGATTTCATTGGTGTAGGGAAGGTTTAGTGAAGAAACTCCTTTCTTTTTGTCTGTCTTGTTCTGTCTTTCTGTCTCTCCCTCTTCTCCTTTTCTCCCTCATTTTTT